TGATGGAAGTGATTTGAAGTGGAAAGGCCAGATGTGCGGGCGTGGATTTCGTTCTCCGAAGTGTATTCCTCTCATTTCCTTCGATATGTTGCTGCATTGGTGGCGCTGCTTCCTCCTCTTTTCTTCTGAAGTTTCCGGATTCCCGACATCTGCGCGTGGAATGGGTGTGATGGAGGACTGGAGGATAAAAAACGTACCGCTTGGTGAGGTCAACATCGGCCTTCTTGCAGACCAAGTTGGAGTAACGGCGACCAACACCCTTGATCTGGGTCAAGGCGTACATGATCTTCTGCTTACCGTCAACATTGGTGTTGAGGAGACGCAGAATGTACTGGAAGTTGGTCTTCTCGCCGGACACAAGCGCTGTATGTCGACAAAAAAAACCATCAGCATTTCCGTTCTCATTTCATCGCATAAAAACCAGAGTCCCATCTGTCCAACGCGAAATTTATTCCCCAAAGCATTCCCACACCATATTCCATATCCGGTCGGTCTGTCGATAAGAGAGAAAAACCTCTTTGCCGAGCTGATGCTTTTGGTTTTTGATGTGTTGCCGTCGTAGCGATAAAATTTCCTCCCGTCATCGCAATATAGCCACCCAGAACGATTTTCTTTCCTTGACCACCGACCGGACATAGAACCAAGGCAGGGAACGCCAGAAAAGGGAATAAAACCGGTCGGACATGAGGGATCTGGAGAGACTGAGAGATTTGCACGTACACATGATGGGCGATTTGGGGCGGGACCGCGGTGAATTGTCGACAGGCGAAAGGGATGGGAGAAGGAGGGTGAAGTCGTGGGCGTTGGCGGTGCTTCTCAATCTCTTTCCTCTGCGACTTTCGCAAGCCCGTTGTGGGATCGGGTAAGCTGGTTACTAACCATATCGGGCATGGTCGTCCAGAGGGCTCGCTTATGGCCCGCGCTAGGCTGCTTCGGGCTATATTGTCACCTGCCCTGCGCTGGGTCGGGGGTAATGCACGTGATCGAATGCTCGTCGATGCCTCAGGTTGGGGATTTACCCTAGTACCAAAAATAGGCAAGGACCGTCAGTATGCGTCTTTGTAGAAGATTAAAGAGGGGTGGCCTTTTCTTAATGAAACAGCTACAAGGTCTACTCTTGCATCTGTAGAGCTTGTCCCTCACAACTCGATTGACCGTTTTCTGGGGCCAGAACCATAGCTGGTTTGGGCGTCCGTATGGCCGCATCTTCCACTCTAGTGTTTATGGGATGCTGTCATGGCGACTCCACCTGACATAACACTACGTACTACAAGATATCAACACTGAAGCCATCAGGTCAATCTGAGCTGTTTGCCAGATCATAATCGAGTAGCAGGCCCAGATCAATACAGTAAGAAAAAACACTGATTGCTCTAGTCCATTCCATCATGATTTGTAGCTTAGTAACACGTGCCTAGTCAGATCTTTACCTGACCACAAGAACATTTTCTTGCTTTGAGTGCTATGAAAAAGTTATGACCAGATATGCTCTGACTCTTCCAACAAAGGAAGAAGAGTTTAACCACAGTGAAATTGTATGCGCTTGGGTGACTTAGATTTTAGTGGGTAGGACATGAATTGTCCAGCAAAATCCCAGTGTTGCCTGGCACTAAGCTGATTCACTTAACTGATTTTTCGGCAGAAGTCTCAACTTGTCTATTCCTTCACTGCCCTCCGGTGAATATGTGATTTGTCACTTGAAAATGTGTTCTCAGTTCTTACTTCCCGGCTGAAGTTGTTCTTGACCCTTTCTCCAAGCTTTTATCTCGTGTTACTTGATCCAGTCCATAGAAGTTCTTCTACAGTAACAACAAGGCACGCCTTCCTCCATCCGGTAAGGTTCCCGCCTCTAGCGAGATTAAGCGAGAGTTAGCGCCGTCACTCATACTCCCGAACTATAGCACGCAAGATGGTCCAGGGACAGCCACAGACCGGGGGAAGGAGGACGGCCAGGAGCCGGAAAGATCGCCACATCCATGCCATCTCACGCCCGGAGTTGAGATGGCATGAGATCCAGTATCCCGATCCCGAGCTCCGGTTTGAAAAGCTGGCTGTGGAGACTCTGCCCGGCCCCCCCATGGACTTCACCATCGGAGGTAAACGAAGCCACGGGCTCACCAAGGGTGGGCACGCCAGAAAAGAAGACCTGGAGATGCTGCTGCAGTTCCTGGACTGGGGCTTTGATCATGATCTGATAATACACGAAGCCACCTGCGACCAGCTTGGTGCTATGATCTTCAAGCTCATCTTCAACCGAGCGCCGGAACATCGACCTCAGACTTGGAACGAATTATTCGACGTGACGAGAGACGCGGGCCCACGTTTGCTGTCAAAAAACATCAATCGTCCATGTATCCCAGTCAGTCGCTACTACCCCTGTCTTGAGAGTGGACCGGCCATGCCCGCTGGGCGAATCTTTCAGAGACCGCTGGACGCTTCCCCATATCTCTCAGATCTCTGCATTCACCGGATGTCTTTGCCCTCGACAGGTGGCTCTCTTAGTGCTCCTGTTACTCCGCGACCTAACACTCAAAATGAGAACACCATCTCTTTCAGTTCGAGTCCTTCGCACTCATCATCTCTTCCAGCAACGCATCTCGCCATTCAACCCGCATCAACCGAAAGCATGACGAACTCGCACAACGATCCTTCCAACAAAGAGACCCAATCGGCCCAGTCTTTTGGTCTTCCTCAAGCTACACTTGTAGACCCAGCTCAGACCAACGAAGCTTGTCTCAGCAGAAGAGCTACGGACCACGCCATCATGCAGGGTACAAGCCCAGACAACAACATCACCATAGAAGAACCCGTGCCGTCCGTCGACTCCAGTATGCTCGATGCACTGATTGTGGTGGCTCAGTTGCTGAAGCTAGGCTCATCCAAGGACAAGAGTAATGAGAGCGAGAGACAGACTTTCGACGGAGCGGAGCTCGCCTTCCGCGAAGCTGTAAGCCAAGACTGGGACACCTGCGCCCACGAAGAAGGTGCTCGGCTGATAACTCGTCTCAAAGCTGAATTGGAAAAGCTCAACGTCAGCATTGCTACAACACCCCAGAATGTACGAGACGCTTGGATGGCATTGACGAAGTCCTTCACCCAGTTCGACTATTTGTCTGCAAAGAGATACTCCTCGTGTTCCTGTTTGCCTGACGATCTCCCTGGATCTCCCTTCGTTGACGAGGGACTTGCTGTGAAACACCACATATTCATGCCACTCGCTGAGAGCGCCGACGCAGACGGAGTGACCATACAGGACCTCCTGGGCCGTTGGTTCGGGAAGCGGTGGAGCGAGGATTGTGTCCTCTGTAAACAGCCTGGCTCCGTGGCTACGGATATGGCATTTCAGAGCACTCCCTTGTGTTTAGTGGTTGCGCCCGCTCCCGGAACCTCCCTTCATGAGCATACGCGTGACATCAACATCAACTACATTGACTTCACAGGTACTGAATGTACTGCATCCTATAGATGGACAGGAGGCATCTATTACAATGACAGCCGCCTACGTGTCTACTGGACTGATACCAAAGTGAGTGAGCATGATAGTGGAAATATCCGTGCTTATGAGAGCCGACTGAGATCGGTTTTCATGGTCGAATCCCACGCTCAGTCCAACCCTTTTGATCGAGTGCCCCCAGTCTGGTGGGAGAATAAGCCTGTCCCATTACTGTTCTATGAGTGTACCTGGAGACCTGAATCCGAACACATGGAAAGGCCCACTGAGTCCCTTGACGACATGCTTGCGGCCCTGGATGATTTTGACAACCAGCTGGTGACGCAAGCAACTATGACTACCAGCCTTGCAGTTCCTGCCCTTCACAGCCAGCTAATGACGCCACCAGCCACTACTTCCAGCCCTGAAGGTCATACCCCACACAACCAGCTGATGGCACAGATGACCGTTCCTCTCCCCGAGATTGATGCCGCTCACAGCCAGCTGATCACACCATCGAGCCATGCAGGGCAGGAGGAGTTGCAATATTCGGATTCTCCATATGGCTATGGCTTTGGAGACTTTATTGGCCAGGAACTTTTCTCGGTTTTCAACGACAGTTACATGGCTATGGACGCTTCTTTGCCATCAGCCCAAGCACCAGAATTTGATCCACACACCGAAATGTCTGAGGCGGATTTTGCGTTGAGCGAAGGTGGTTTTGAAGAGCTGTTGAATAACTCCGCTCTGCAAATCAATTGGTCTTTGGTTTCCGATGAGCCTCATCCATCCTCTGCTGAGTCCGATGTGAGGCATCAGCAGGAAAGTACTGATATCGTGATGCAGGATGTCTCTGGGGGTGGTGAAACTGATGATTCGAAGACCGTTGAAAAGTGATACTGCCGTTGAGCCGTGGACTGTTCATCGGTTGTTTGTTTGTTTTTTTTTGCCTTCTGAATTGAGCATGTACACCGATTGGATTTGCTTCTGATCTAGAGTTGTACATTAGCTAGGTACAAGATGGTACATACAGCAGTGCCCAAGTTTCATGTCCATAATTTTCCTTTACTGTGTTGTTAGCAGAGAACATGAAACTTTATTGAGGTCGAATGATATTTCGAACAGAATCAGTCGCCTGAAATTCCGGTCACCAAGTAACTAGACGTACCTATCCGATCCATCATTTGTCCTTCATTCGTGGATTAACAACTTGAACTGAACTTCAATTAATGTCACGTTGACAGTGCCGAGTCAAGGCAGTCAGCCAATAGAGGGACGGGGGAAGTCAGCTCCAACCGATCCTTGTTGCTTTCCCCGCATTTCACCCTCGTTGTAAATCGCCCCGTTTCCCTCAACCTCAACTTAGCCTTCTCTCAGACCATTCTTCTGCGAAAGACCCATATCAGACTTGGTTATCCAGGCGAGATGTCGACGATGGTTGGTATCAGTCGATTTCATCCATTAAATTCACATATGAAGCATGAGAGGCTAACTCTAACTATATCCATCTAATCTAGAGCCCATGTATAAGAAAAACAACGCGTTCCGACCGGACAAACCAGCCTTAAATCTATAGCCTTGCACGAACAGCTTCTTTCTTGGACTGTCTCGGCGGGCCCGTGGGGGTATCGCTCTTCTTCGGTGCTGAAATATAGCCTCCTTTGACGTTGTCCGCATTAATAACCAACCCCTTCTCGTCTCTCTTGATGCCGAGCTCGATCAACTTCGCGAACGCCTTTGCAAAGTGATCGAAAAACAGCTCCTTATCCTTCGCATACTTCACCACCCACTCCTGGAACTTCGGGTCCGTCTTCAGCGCGATATCCGTGGGCAGCATCATCAACATCTCGTCGCCCTCCTCCGCATCCGGATCCACAAAGACAAACTGCGACATCCCGTTGCCCAGCTTCTTCGGCGTCCACTCCAGTTTCAGCAAGAGGTTGAAGAACTGGTTGGAGAATCGCGTCGGGTTGTTGACCCACGGCCCCTCGAATCCGCTGCGGTCGGTGTGGCATCGGCCCAGGTTGTGTCCGCCCGCCAATGCGACGATCTCCTGGTCGTTGAAGCCCATCCGATAGAAGATGAAGCGGAGGTGATCAGCGCCCAGGGCGCCGTCCGGTAAGCGGCCGCGTGGAGGCACCTTGGAGTCGTCGACGAGATCGGTGCGGCCTGGTTGCCATGGGACTTCGGGCCCGCCCATCTCCTTGATGGCAACCACGCCGGCTAGCGTCCACAGGTCTGAGTATGTGATCCAGGGGTGTTTCTCTCTGACGGGCTCGAGGAATGCGCGACCGAACTGGAGGCCTGCGTTGGCCGGGTCCCCGCCTTCAGCTTCATAGCGCATGCCCGCCCCGTTGCTGCCGCCCGTGTCGGACTCAGCGTCATACGTGCCCGCGGAGTGCCTGGTACGGGGTTAGTTGGCAAATTGATTGAGCAAGTAACTTGAACAATGAGAGAGCCTCACCATGCTAAACGGACAAACACGGGACCAGCACTTCCGTCGTCATAATCGGGCTTTTTCAGCTGGGCGGCGATGTCTCTGCGGACAGCGTCATAATCCCCGGGGGTGCTCATCTCGGCCGATAAGTCTGTCTGGGGTAATGAAAGGAATCTGCGCGGATGACTGATCGGTTCGGTTCCCGTGCGCCGCGGATTCTTTTTTTGCTACAGTGATAAGGTCGAAAGATATCAAGGAGAGGAATGGAACATGCACGGTATGAGAAAATATTGAACAGGAGAAGGAGGAGAAATTCAAACGTCAAACGACTGGCATTTGCTTTTGTCTTTCTCACTGGCACATGAAGACCGGACCGATGGCGACTAATTGAACTGTGGATCACTGGACCCGCGGTCCAACTCCCTTAGAAGCAAAAGCCGAGGTTCAATTTTCTGGCTTGCGACCCGCGCTCTCACAAATTCTCATGACCAGTTATCGCGATGGAGACGGATTCTCGGACCTGAGTGGTTCAACTGATGGCCTTAATCTTGGTCAGCTCGACGGAGCCCCCATCTTTGGCCCTTTCCCCAGGTTCATGTGTCTGGGACAGGTTTTGCGGTTGTCGATAGCCGTGGCGAGGGGAGGGATTACACCTGAAAATGCGCAGGTTGTGCATTTCCAAATCCCCAAGGTCGCTCAGAGCTTGACATATGATTCCTTCTTGACTTCGACAAGCCAAATTCTTCTCAACCTCAGCATCATCGGATCGATGTGCGAGATCGCTCTGCTCTCTGGGATCAGGTAGTCGTTCGGAAATGGACCTCGGGCTGTGATATGCCGAGCATCGATTAACCGACCATGCTGAAGATTGGTAGCAGAGCGCGCTCTTTCACAAGACACCCGGTCTCACGCATGCCAATTGCTTACTGCAATGACTATGATTACAACTTTAGCGAGTACATAATAAACCAGACACTGGCCATTTCAGACCTCACACCCCCAAGGCCTGGGCGCCGTCTGGTCATCTTGCGAAATCACACCCGATAAATAGTCCTGATTCTGAGATCTCCGCAGATCGCCCTCTCATTCAATAGCCGCCTTAATAACCGCTCCAGGTTTCCCTCCCCGATCTCGAACGTCCTCCGCCTCGGTCACAGTTCACTTTAATCCGTTCCAATATCCATTTTCAATCATTGAACCACACCGAAGACTTGTTCGGCAACCCTTCGAATGACGGCAATTCCACTCCATGGAGAGAAGAACGGAATTCTCCTGATGGTTGCTGGATTGAGGTTTCCCATCTCATCCTCCGCGCGAATTTCAGGACGAAATGTTGATGGCCTGAGGGATTTTGAGTAAAAGGTTGGACTGCCCTGTAGTATGTTTGAGGAGTAACTAGTGGACGTAGGTAGCATGAATGTAGTTGTATGAAGAATCGTACTAGTGAGCACAAGAATATGGTCTCTAGAACTAGTCAGAGCCGACTCATTAGAACTGGCTACTAGTAAGCATGACACTCCGCTATTAATGTTCCCATGTTAGCACATCGCAAAGATTAGCCAAAGTGACGGCCTCCATTGGTGCTTAACTATCACCTACTCTCCGATAGTGTCCGCGCGGAAACGACTGATCACTTTTTGTTCTATGCTATTATGCTTAGTCTAGGTTACACATAACTATGTATACGGAAACTTTTACCGAGATTGATCGGAAAATCTCTAAGTGCCCTACACTATGTTTCTCGGTGCTTTACAGCTGCTTCAATGTCAAGCCAGGAAATAGGACGTCATACCTAAATACCCTTAGTGCTTCTCCCATAGTCCGGCGGCCAGAATCTCTCCCCTCAAGTTTGCACCGTTTGTCTCCGCGCCCACCCACCCCTCATCCCCGCGGATCAAATTTCCTCATCGCAATCGCATCTCCCACTTTTTTTTTTCTGGACTTTATTCTTTCGCATTTTCTTTTGAGGCAACAGAAAACTTCTCCACCTCTGCGCTCCGCAGCATATTCACCCCCTGCCTTCCTACACGAATCCGGCGAAAAATCCAACAACCCCCCAAAAAAATGGGCCGAATTGAAGAACTCCCCGACGACTTTGACGAATCGCTCAACCTGAACGATGGCGCCGCCAACGCCGCCGCCGCCGCATCGGCCGCCGCAACAACGGAAGAAGAGATCCTGCCGATCAAGCACGAGCGGCTGAAGGACGTGGAGAGCAGCGATCCGATGGCGCCGCGCATGCCGCCGACGATGCAGGCGGTGCAGACGCACACGACGGACGAATTGGCGGATATCCTGAACCGGACGCCGTTGTTCATGACGGATATGGATAAGGCGTTGGATGAGAGTATGTCGTCCCTCCAACCGTCTTTCATTATGCGTCTGGGGGTTTAAGGGAAAGAGAATCTGGCTAACAGTTGGTCGAAAATAGACGGCGAGAACGTCATGCTGGATGCGATCCGCGCGCTGCAGAATGAAGGAACCCGCGGGGAGGTGGCGCAGAGCTTCCGGTCCGAGGGAAACGAGACGGCCAAGGAGAAGCGGTGGATCGATGCCAAGGAGCACTATACCAAGGCCATTGCGGTGCTGCAGGCCAAGGAGGACAAGTGGGAGAAGCCCGAGGATGAGGAGGCGGAGAGAAAACTCCAGAAGGAGGTGGAGGCCGCGTGCTACATCAACCGCGCGCTGTGTCATTTGGAATTGCGTGAGTGTCAATTTTTTTCTCAAGTCTATTCCTGGGTTTCAGGGGAGAGGGGCTGACTTGAATTGATCTGGGGTGATCACAGAGAACTACCGTTCTACGACCCTCGATTGCGCTGCCGCTCTGAAACTCAACCCCAAGAATGTCAAGGCCTACTACCGCTCCGCGACGGCATTGCTCGCTCTGGATAAGATCCCCGAGGCGGAGGATGCGGCGGCGCGCGGCTTGGCCATCGACCCCGAGAACAAGTCCCTGCAGACGGTGTCCGCCAAGATCGCGGAGCGGAAGGCCGCGGTGGAGCGGGTGGCGGCGAGGAGGAAGGCCGAGGAGGAGCGCAGGCAGAAGGAGGCGCAGCTGTTGAGCGTCGCCCTCCAGGCCAGGAACATCCGCACGCGCAAGACGGACGCGCCGCCGGAGATGGAGGATGCGAGCATCAAGCTCTCGCCGGACCCGCTGTCGCCCGAAAGTACCCTCGAGTTCCCCTGTGTGCTCTTGTACCACATGGACGCGCAGACGGATTTCATCAAGGCGTTCTCCGAGATGCACACCATCGAGGATCATTTGGATTACATCTTCCCGCTGCCCTGGGATTCGAAGCATGAGTACACGATCAATTCGGTGGAGTGCTTCATGGAGACCGTCACGGGCGGCTTGATCCAGGCGGGCAAGAAGTTGCCCTTGCTGCAGATTTTGGCCAGTGGTAAGGTGGAGGTTGTGGATGAGCTGGTGAAGATCTATGTGATCCCCACGTCGAAGAAGGCCAAGTTCATCGCCGAGATGAAGGCGAGGAGATCGAGTTGAGACGTCTCAGTTGCTGATGTGAAATGAAGACATGATGGACTGTGACTCTCCGGGAGTGGATAGCCGGTCTATCCACCTGTACTGTGCACGCTCTTGAGATGAGCATTACGGTTAACAAGCCACTACAGCATCCCTATAGGCTGTTACTTCCATCAGAAGAGCACAGGATGATGACCCACGTTGTCGGGGGTGCGCAGAAGCCTGCTTTCTTTGGCTCGATAATCATCTATGGATCAGGCTGAAGATCGTTCAGTACGGGCACTTGATACCATTGTAGATATACACTTTATGACGAATCAAAAGTTATAGATTTCATTTAATTTGCTTGGAGAGAGTTGGTCCCAAAAGCATGTGCAATCTAAAACCTGAAGCTGCTGGGCCCGCGGTGCATACCTGGAGGCAAACGGCCAAAGTAGAAGCTGTCTCCGTCGATCCTTCCTTTCGATCCTCCCTTTCTATTCCTAGGACTCCCACATTCGAGCAACAAGCCATGCACTTGCATCATTGATAGCAACGATGCTCCGGCTCCAAACCTCCGACTTGTTCAGCCAGGAACAAATGTGTCTCGGATTTCTACCAGAAGGCGCTAACTTTTCACCAGCTTTGCGGTATAGCAAATACTAGCGAAGCAGGAGGGGCACTTGCCAGCCTGACCACCCGAGAAAAATGCCCATGACAACTGCTCGCAAGTTGCCAGGCGATCTAGGTGTCCACGGGAGGGAGCATGGTTCCAGCTCATGCTGACTTCTATAAGCTTCATTCGCCTCTGCATGTTCACACTGCCCCCGACGATAACGTTTGCGAAGGTTGAGAATTGTGGATTCTCTGTCGATAGCCCTTTCGAAGTATAAAGCAACCTTACCCATCATAGTATCTTGGAGATTGCGGCTACAGGCTGTTGGGATCATACTGTGCGATAGAGGTAGATTGAGGGGCGTCTGCGATGCAGCAGGATTTCTATATTCGATGCTACGGGGCTGCGGCGCTGTTAGTGGCTCTTGGGAGCTGCAATACGAGGCTGTTCAAATCTACTATATTTCTGGGCGCTTTTGTGGGCATTGACTCGACAGTATCTCTCCCTTATACTCAAGAGACTAGGCGATACAGGAACGGAGCTCACTAGTTTGGCTGGTTCTATTTGCTGGAGACACTGACTACCGCTGTCCAGCTCCATTCAAGTCCGCCTGCCCCTGGTGGCGCTACTTTGTCTGGTCTATGCAAAAGCACTGTTAACCTACTGCCCAATGGCAGCAGGAGTCATTCAATAGTAGGGCTATCTCCTCACACGGTCACCGCATGAACTCTGTATACTATTGACTCAAGCATCCCCTTTGGTGAATATGTACTCTATTGTCTGTCATTCACCAGCTAGTATTGTAGTCTCTTCTCTTGCATCAAATCTTGATCTTGTCTGATTCAATGTTTCTTGTTATTAACTATCAAGTAGAGGGGTCAATCAACAGATCCAGCATGTTAGTAGATTGGCTCTCTTCCACTATCCTTCTCCATCTCCTCCACCATACTACCTACTCAGCTTCCGTTCTCTTTCAACCACACATCTGTATCTTCATAGCCCAACACAATAGCTTCTATATTCTCTATGCTGAAAGCGATCCGTGACACACATCGCCTTCCCCAACCACTTGTCCACATCACAAACGAAAGATTCCTCAGATATTTCTCATGGCCAGCTGATGCTGATAAAGCATGTCCTTCGCCTGTCCGGGACTTTGATCACGGCTTTATAGAGGCTTTTCGTGGTCTAGGGATCTGTCAAGCTGAGCGAAGGACGACATAGATAAACGACCTTCGCTTTTGAGTTCAAGGGCTGCTTTCCAAACGAAGAAAGAACATTGATATTCGCATTCCCCACAATCGCCCACTTGATACATCTTTTGACCCACCTGAATACCCCATCTTCACGCAGAGATAAGCTCTCCATGCCCAAGACATGAAGGAGATGATTGATCTGGGCAAGAAAATAACTGCATGAGCCAACGAATGCCATCACTGGCTTCCATGTGCATTTTTACTTCGGTACAACCGAGCGTCCCTCGGCGATTGAGTGGCCCTCTCTTCAGATACCATTCCCGCAAAGTCTCGGTAGGGCTCTAGTCGAATACTCCGACTACTACTACCACCACCTATCATAAACCAAGCCCACTATCAATGCTCTCCACACAAGTAAACAGGCCAAACGACCGCTAGTTATGCCCCGCCAGCACAGTCCACCCTCACATACAAAACACGATGCTCCCGCTCGAGCATATCAACCCCGTCCTCTTCCTCCGGTTTCTGAACAATGACATATCCCATGACATCTTCATGACACCCCCCCCTTTGGACGAGAAACCAAAAAGAAATTCCCCCGTACTGGGGTTCGAACCCAGGTCTGAAGCAGGAAACCGTTAGGTGACCCACAACCGTCGTCTCCATCTAGACCATACGGGGTGTTTGTTGGAGGTATCCGCGCTGGCCTTTATTATGTGTTCACTTTCGCTAACTTTTCCAGCGGCTTTTGGGATGGTTGTCGAGCAGCAGATGATCTTACTGCATGTAGAATATCGTTTAAGAGATATTCTGTTACGGCGGAATGCCTTACGGGCGTTGGGCTGGGTTGTGCCTGTTGGGGTGTGAAATCGTTGGGGGAATGGAGTAGAGTCGCATGGCCGGATGGCGAAATGGAAATAGGGATGGAGATTGTTACCTACAGGTTGGTGGACGCCTTTCTGGATGACACTGGTAGGTGGGGAATCTGTGGTTTGGAGTTTTGAGACCGCGATGGCCGATCAGGGTTATGGCGTTCTCGACAATTACCTTACTGGTTGGGCGGTTCCAACTAGCTCGATGGTGTCTCAAAAGCAAACAGCACTGGATCAAAACACAAAAACGACAAGACGAAGAAGAAAAGAAAGAAAGCAGAAGAGCCTTGGAGGGTGGATAAGGCCTTTGATCGCTGAATCGCGCATCACAGGCTATGAGCACGTTTTACAACAGCCCCAAGCATGGGAGGTGTTGAGCAGAGTGCTTTTAGCAAGATGCGATGATTTTCGACGTATGGTATGCACATAAGTCGACAGGGAGTTGTGGATGAAAGCCGCAGGGCCGGATAATACACCCGTGTCGTAATGTTCATGTCCTGAGGTAGGTGCCACCCCTTCTTCTCCCTTCTGCTTGGGAGCATTGGCTAATTTCCAGACAGGGTAATCCCAGAGAAGAGACCGAGCTAGTGTGTGGGTTTGCGTTAAGCAAGGGAGTCACTGCATATCCCGCCGCCACTCTGCGCCTGCCTACGACGATCGATTGTCTGAGCTGGTGCGGATGAAAGCGTAAGCCTGGACCACGCGCGCCAATCATGGATTGAGCTTGCTCATTGAGATGTGCGTAACTGGTATAAAGGTACCAGTATCTTGTTCTGGATTTTCTTTGGATAGACGAACACCTCGAGAAATGTGGGCTTCCTTGAAGACTAAGACTCGGCAGCAAATCTGCTGTGAGTAATCATGCTTGCTCGTTGAGGTCTGCAATGAGAGCAATGCTCATCCTACCTCAGCTCCTGGCTTAGGTAGCTCTATCGATGCCCCCTCAGGGGTCCTCTTGCAGATACGGAGAGCCGAGTTCCTTCCGGAAAACTCGACAGTTTGCCTTCTCAATAACGCTTTCATGAGACTATCTGAGTATTAACTCGAGTCCATGTGCAGCACAAGCTCACAATCTAGGGAGCTGCTACAGCATGACCTAGCATATCGTCGCCGTTCATTAATATTCTCGATGACAAACAATTTGCTCAATATCATGCAGAGGTTGATGACCATGATGAATGAGAAGTTCGCAGACCTTGGGCTCATTGCAGCAGGAGGTACCCTGCGACATCGCCTAAATTGCCCAATACTCTTATCTCTCGTCCTCCTGCTGAGAGTTATTACTTGACTGAGAAGCAGACCCTCAACCCGATCAATGACTTCACTGCATAACATGGCTATGCTTGAGTCAAATCATTTATGTAGCTATCTTACTGATAGCATTGCTCACCCTTTTGCTGTGAGGACTAAAGAGAGCCCCGAAAAGGATCATCAGATGCATTAGATGATTTTTTGCCGCTCTGGCCGCCTGTTAACCGAGAACTTGATCATCGGTGGTATCAACTGTGCTGAGGAACCTCAAGGGGGCCCAACTGCTAGCAAGCTTTTACCCTCTCTCGATGTTACACCGTCATATTCAAGGTGCATCGGCTACGGAAGGTAAAAGGACTTACAAGTGAGTCACCTCGTCAACTCTAGTTTTTGCTATATCACTTCTCCCAGGCTATACCCCGCGCTGACCATCGATCAGACAAGAGTACCGTGAGCGACACTCCAAACAATAGGGTCGTTCCAGCAACCCAGTCCAACCCAATCCCAGAATGACCCTGCCATTTTGCCCGGCATGAATTCGCAGTCATTCCTGGGGAATGAACACCTATCACTGGTCATGCAACCGCATGTGCTCCTTCACGCTCCCGCAATTGAGGCTATTGGATTACTGGTACGCTTATCAGGCCAAGTGAACACGAAAGAAGATAACAATCGGGTGGTTTCGATCACTTATACAGATAGCCCAATTATCTTTTTCAATGACAATGACGTTAACTCGTCGCTTCGCCAGCCCACACCCTTACCTCGTGTAGACGATGTACAGTGCTATGCTTCTAATGAACTTGTAGTTTCTCCTAGCGCCATCATTCGCCTTTGTATCAAATCATGATAGGCCCGACCAGGTTCAGGATAGAGCAAGCAGCAAAGACCTGGCGAACCCCATCCTCAGAGAAATCCATCGTACTGTCATTCCGGGTTTTGCGACGAAGTGCACTGGTCAGATTGACCCGAGTGGACGCATGAAGTGGTAGGTTGAGGATAAATACCGCAGCGGGACTGATCCTTCCACACTGGGCCGGGGAAAATCCCTCGTACAGCGACAACTTCATGCTTAACATTAACACCTTCAAGCTTCCGTGTCAGCTCACGCCAATGTTGTATCAAACAATTGGTTTAATCCCACGTGCAATCCAGGCACCAGCAATGCTTAGCTCCAGATCTCAGGCTGTCACCGACTCGATGCTGCGTCAATTACCCGACGCAAATCATGATGGCAGTTAATAAGGAGCCCCCTTGCCTCTGGCATTCCGCAGAGTTGCTCTTCTCAAGAGCACTCCCTCCCCTTCATCTTGGCTGTTTTTGGAGAATAATCATCTTTGATTTACTCATCATCAGACAGGATGACTCTACTAGCACCCTATCAATTTCCGCACCAGCCCCTGTGCAGTGAGCCGCCACCGCCGTATACACCATGCCAGACCCCCTCATACACCCCACAGCCACCACATCCCAGCATGCACCAGCACACACTTCCGACCTCAATCTCCCCCTACTTGTTCTGTGAACAGACACCCCCACATCTGTCCCGCTCGAGCATCTCCAGATACGGCCGTTACCTCACCACCCTTAGCCATGGCGTCAACAGCACCACCTACCTATACCGACTCTGTCCACGCTTTCCAGCCAACAGCCAACCCAGAATCTACGCCGTCAAGATCATCCCCTCAATGTCTCAGCCCCCTCCCTCTACTCAATTGTTCAAGAACAACGCACTAAACAGCAACACCATCGATCATCCCAACATCCTCCTCCCATTCCTGCCCGCAATCATCGACGATGCCGGCAATCACCACCTGATCACCCCCTACTGTACAGGGGGTACTCTCCATGAACTGATCGCATCAACAACGCAGCTCGCTCCTGCAGAAGCAAACTGCTTCTTCAAGCAACTCCTCCGAGGGGTCGCGTATCTCCACAACCACCCCAACCTCCAATCCCACCTCGAACAAACTCACACTGGGCCTCCATGGACGAGCTTGACTCTCAACCCGCAGGACATCCTCCTCACCGGAGCAGGAACCGTGCGAATCAAAGTCCGGGCATTCTCCCCCTCGTCTCCCCACGCAGCGCGCAGCAGTCCATACTATGCGCCAGAGCTATACCGCGTCCCCAACAACAACACCAGTATCAACGAAAACAATCCCAAAGCCTTCGACGCCTGGGCCCTGGGCATGATCTACCTATTCATGCGCACGGGCCGTTCAGCCTGGACCGTGGCCCAGGCGGAGGAGGATCGGATGTATGCCCGGTATGCAAGGGAAAGAGCGCAGGAGGGGGGATTTGCCTTGATCGAGGATTTGGGGCCTGTAAGTGTCACGTTTATCCCCTTCCCTTATTGCCCTTGTCCTTATCCATCACGAAAATGGCCGTCTTCACGCCGCATCGCATTGTGTATTGATCAAGATCGGCGATGCGCCCCCCGTCAGGAACCATGTCGAAACGTCATCTACGCCATGTTAGATCCCAGGCCCCTTCGTCGGCTGACGGTCCATCAAGCCTTGCGGTCAGAGTGGATATACGGAGTCGCAATCTGTGGAGCACGTGAAGAGGACGGCCTCTACCGAGGCGGAGACTGTAAACAGAGGTAGAGGGGGCATTTGCAGGATTCGTTGAAGTTATATTCCGTAGTAACCCATAGTTCTTCTTAATCGTACTGTACACCGAACCACCGAGTCAGAAAGCGATCACGTAGCAGCCTAGTACCTACCTACTTCATGGCATGCGAATGCCGCACAGTACGATAAACCCCCACGAAGGTCCTGACCATCCCCATAAGTCAAGTCAACCTCCTAACCTCCTAGAGCACACACACATACACACACACACTTTCTTTCTCTGTCTGCCCCGACACACCTCCCAAAACCCCCAACCCTTCATCAGACCTATCTCTTCCTTCGGGATTTGAACCGGTCCCAAAATCCTCATTCCCCCTCCCCCAAAAATCCAACGCACCCAATGCACCTCCCCCCTCCGGGCCGGAAACCGGTTCATCCAAACCCTCCGGACAATATAACACATCCAACTCCCCCGCCCAAGCAGCAAGACACACAGAAAAAAACAAGTTTACCTCCCCAAAAAACCGGTTGACGTTTGTATCTACCCCTTGCTTTAAAGGGGAACAGTTCATGCTTGCGTCGCCCCGTCCTGCAAGATTTACTTACTGTCTCCCCTCTTTTGTCCTTGTATAAGTAAGTACCGCTGCCATAGATATAAGCAATGTGTCGGGGCGTCCCAATTTTGAATCTTTCTTTTTCTTGCTCCCCCCCCTCCATCTCTCCATGTCTCCCCTCTGACGGAAGTATGTAGATCCATGCTCGGGGTCTTCATTCATGAAAATCTCTCTTGGTCTCTTAATTATTAAAGTATAGTTCTATATGTACAGTGCCTGACTCTCCCGATCCCCCCACCAAAACCCTTTTGGGTCCCCTCGAAATTCTATACAACCGGTCCTCTAGCGATTTTCTATGCCGTTGCGACCCGAAATGCACAACATAACCCAAAAGAGAGAAAAAGGAAAAGGAGAAAAAACAAAAGAAAGAGGTAAGTACAAATGAAAATGCCCGTTATGCTTTCCTCCCCCTCCCTTTCCCCCGCTCTATATGATGAAGTTCATTCAATATTAGAAACTAAAGTTAGTGAAGCGACCCCTCTCAACCACCCGGTGGGAGCGAGACCCAGGCTTTTTTTGGAAAATTCTTTTCCACGCGTTTGATGGCACACAACAAAGGAAATGCGTTAGCGCTTAAAGTTGATGTTTTTGGAGGTTCAATAATTGAAATAATACGGGTTCGGGCAGCCTCCGAGATCGGTATTCGAGAGTCCGATCACAGGCAGCGTCTGCTGCGCTTGGCTGTGAGGGTAGTATCGGAGAGGGAGTGAGGTGGTTTCGAGGGTCGATGGCTCGTGGTGGTACATGGAGCTGCTGGTCAGGTCAAGGGAGTAGCCGGCTGTGCTTTCGCCCTCGCGTGACCGTCGGGAGGCGCTGCTGCCGCCGATAGGTGCGTATGAAGAAGTTGGGGCGCTGCTGTCCCACGAGACCTGGATGGTTGGCCCTTTGCAGGGCTCGAGGGGTTTGGTGGAAATAGTCCCGGTGCTGCTCTTCGGGGTGACCGCGGAGCTGCTGCAGGAGTCGAAGACGGAGGTGTGCGATTCCAGGTCGGGGATCTCTTTCCGGTACACCGGATTCACGCTGTCCTTCATGGATGAGCTGGTCGGGGAGCCCATCGCTTGGCTATCCGCGAGCTGCTCGGGAAGGTGGACGCGCGATACACACACAACCATGGGCCCGTCTGGAGCCATGTCAATATCGGATCCGGTCGGCGTGCCAGAGGAACATACCTGTTCTGCCTTCCAGGTACCGTTCTTGCTCTCCGCGGACATGGTAGATCTCATCCAGTATAGCTAACCGTTCGACGGGTTGAATCTGTCGACGCACAGATTGATCCGCTTCTTTGAGTTTCTCGACGCAGATAGCGTGGCTTTCGCGCAACTCGCACAGAATATGCACCAGGAGCTTGACTCGCTCTGCCCATCGCTTAGCGTGCTTCCTCTCGTGAATCCGTTGAACAGTCCTCTTACCGTTCTTGAGAAGGTGATCAGGCTCTCTGTGGGTAACGCCCGCTGGCCACCAGGCTGGCTTGGTGAGCTCGGGATCAAACTGTTGAGATGTGCCAGAAATGATCTTGCGTCCGTTGTACGGATAGTTGACCTGCTTCCGCGGCTCAACAAGTTTGATGTATGCCTTGGCAAGGATGCGACAGTTGATCTGCTGTAGGCCTTCGAAGGCCTTCTCATAGTATCGCCGAAGGATGCTAGCATTGCGAATAGGGAGCATGGTTTTTTGGTGGCAAGTGATACTCATCGGTACGAGACACTCATGCGACACTCGTTTTCGCTTGTTTGAGGAAGGCTCTGAGGTGTTGCTGAACCTGAGATCTGTCAGCTTCCATCATCGGCTAGGACATGGTGTTGCCATACATCGACTTGCTGTTAGGTGACTCAGGCGACAATGGGCTTCGGCCTCTTGACCCTTCTACTGCCGGTGTCAGTGCATCTTGAAGTCACTGTACGGCAGCGCAGGGTTTACCTAGAAGTTTATTCGACTCGTCCTTCCCAGACAAGGCCACGGCTCGTAGAAAGCTCTCGGTCACGTTTGGCGACAAGATTGAATGGCAGCTATCCGCAATCGAAGGTGATGCTTCGAAGCGCAATTTACCGCTGTCATCGATATAGATCAAAGCAAAGTGCAGACAGGCCAGCCCGTCTAACGGCGCATCCATTGATACCGGAGTATGAGCCTGGTGCAGTTAGCTTATGTTGCGAATCGCCACCCAGGTGAATCAGTACCATGGCTGTGAAACAATCGAGGGGATGGTGACAAGTCAAGATGACCAATGGTTTAGACAATAAGACCTTCAGAAGCTCGCTCTGACACAGCAGGTGAGAAAGGTGCAAGGCACATAGAAGTACTCACGACGAGTCAGAGACAGGGCACGAGAGAAGGCATTTTAAACATGCATCGGAGACGGTCTGGGACCAATTTGAGGCAAACCGAATGAACGGGGCGATCAATAGATCCACAGTCTGTATCAAGCTTACAGGATCGCCCTCAATCCAAGTATCAGCTGTCCCTAGGTCGCCTCCGGGTGGATGATGCACCCACTGCATCACCATTAGCCCTAATGACCTTTTCTTCCCCAAGAAGCACCATAACGAGAAAATCCATAAGAGAAAATCAGTGCTATAGAAGCTAGACCAATGGATGCATCCAAGCCGTGTCACTAATGCGTGGCCCTATGTGGCACAGCAGCGGATGGGGACCCATCCGCTCTCTTGCATTCAGGCGTGAACACTAATGCCTTTCTGCGTTGTTCTCCTCAGGTATAACTATTGGAGAGCGTAAAAAGTACCTCTCGAGTCTTCCCTGAATAGGTAAGGATCCCGTATAGCTGACAGTTCCTGGGGAACGAGCTGATGGCCGCTATCCCGTAGATGCAATTGATTCGTTTTCACAAGGTCTTTGCCATTGTCGATCCTTCACTCACCGGCACTTCAAGCTCCATTTTGCATACAGTGCAAATGATGGACGACTAGAGAGTAGCGGATCCTCAAGCGCTGATAGTAAGTCTATCTACGGTATTCCGTAGACTGAGACTGCCTCGAGTCGGAGTGATAGAACGGAGTAGTTCGGGTGGAGAATGATCCTCACAAGGTACACTGCCCAATCCCGGTAATCAATTTTCGCCTATCACTTCAATTGCCTCTCTAGCGAATGACTTAATTCCGCTAACCCTCCCCTCCTTGCTTCGTGCATCAGGTGTCAGGCACTGATCCTACCGTTAGCTTCGTCCGAGAAACAACACGAATGGGCCTGTAGACGCGAATCAGTGTAATGGGTGACAACCCAGGATGAACAACGCGAGAAACTGGCCTCTTGACACCCGTCGAATATTACGTCGTATGGAGGTGCCCAAGTAGTTACAGGATTGAGCCAAGTGCTGACTGAATGACCGTTCAACGTACTTACGTGGTCCCTAGCTGTCTCGCAACGAAGCATCAGCCATGCAGAACACTGATGATCATTCTGGGACAAATCGATCAGTCGAAAGTTAGATGTGTGGATCCGCCCCGGTTGGAAGTGACCCACCAAAATACTCATAGGACGGCACCAGAGCTAATCACAATGGATCGGTAGCACAACGAACTATAGAGAGTGAAGTTGCGTGCGGAAAAAAATTGCGATAGCCTAAGTGCTCATTTGAAAGCTATCGTTCTCTGTCCGTAGTCGGTCCTTCCTGTCATGTCTCGTCATGGGCATTATCCCAAAGAGTTATTGGCATTTCGCCTATGCTGGTTGTCACCTATGCTATCCACATGATAGGCGTCAATTTGTCAATAGACATCGCTTCAAGTAGAGAGGTCTAGACTCCAATCGTTCATTGCCACATTGCGCTACTTGCTGGTCATCGTGGATGGATGGCGAATTTCCCGAAGCGGATTATTGGGAGCCTGATTCGTCTGACGCACTGGGTACTGTACATTGTCGGTCAAATGTCCGACAATGGAGCGTAGAGGCAACATCCAAGGATGAGATTGGAGTCCACGATGGGCGTGGAGTTGTTTACGGAGTACGGAGTACTGCACATAGACCCTCATAGTGCTGGCATTGAACATGCTTGCGAGTTTCCGAGGTTATTGGCCACGCATTCTTCCAGCTCGCCGTCGGCGTCACCTGTTATATTTGAAAACAAGGTTATGACTGGTCACCGGCCGAAGTTCCGATTCGCGAAGAATCACAAAGCTCGAATTCGCTTGGAGGATCAAGATCTGGCTTAGTACGGGGTACAGTGTGCTCAGGCGACCCCTGTAATCTCCCAAGGCGACAGGACTACTCTGTATAATGGCACCATTGGTCGCTCCACGATTGGTGTGCGAGCAACAAAAACATGGCCATACTACCAGCTACCGGGCGTTCGGAAACGCCATGATCGTTGACGGGGGTGGCCCTTTCCGTTGGGTCCAAGTATGAACAGATTCGGGTTTCTTGGGTAAGACCTCTGACGAGTCTGCTGGGTGGACTGCAGCGGGTCGCGTATTGCATATGATTAGATGACCTGTCATTCTGGCTGGGCGCTCAGTAATCATGCACGTCGGAAGCCTCCCGGACGTAGCGACTGGACTATTACACGCTCCATCGCCATCCATGGACGGTTAGCACGATTTATTAATAACAACACTTTCGTTGAGGCGAAGACATTAATCGAGTTACGGTCTCAGCCGTCCTTCGTGGTTGCCGTCGAGACTATTGTATCACCGAGGATAGATTATTATGGATTATTGATAGATAGAGAATCAACAGTCCGACCACTACCTTACAGTGCACTGGTGGCTTTGATGCATCGTGTTTCGCATTCGGAGCATGTCTAATGGTGTATTCAACGGTAATCGTGGTAGCATCATACCGGCTCGGCACATTTTCCTAGTGAGAACTGAAGCAATCCGTCTAGTAAGCAGCTTCACTTAGGTAGATCCTGATAGCATTGAGGAAATCATGTTAGAAATAGCTTAGTGGTTTCTTCCCATTGTCTTGCAGGTTCTCCAATTCTCTATGAAAGTAGACACACCAACCACGCCACCGGTAGGTAGGTGGTTCGACCGCTGGTAGACCCCAAGTGTGGAAGCGACGTACATGTACAATTGAGCACGGGTCACCGACTTGAGGGCTAGTGCGAGTGAGGGATCAATTTGCGTGGGGCTGGCTGGCTCCATCGGTATGACAGATGTCAGTGGCCACCCACCCTGGTACGGAGGAGAGGAGCCGAGGCTGGTTCTGAGAATGGCAGGGTCTGAGATGAGTTTCATCGGAAACCTTCGATGACCCTAATACCGGGGCTTCTGGAAGGCTACCCGATCTGCGAGGACGATCAGCCGCGGGATGCTGATCTCAAAAGTACAGTGAGTTTACTGTACGCTGTACAGAACATACACTATCGCGAAAGATCGATAGTTGGGGAGTTTTTCCCGCCTCCGTCTTCGCAAGGTGGATGGCTGGGACTGTCCATTGTCCGTACTTGGCCTCGAGCCCTTCGTAGTGTCCGTATATTTGAAGCAATAAAGGTGGCATGCGTGCTTCGCCCTCGATTGGCGGGCTCACCCTGCGGGTCAAAAGATGATGTGCACTTTGAGAGCAGTAGTTAGTGGGGAGGAGAGAGGTGAGGGAGAGGGAGAGATGAAGGCTGGAGCTTTCGGTTACACAGTCAAGAGCAGTGAGTGACTCGCTGGAGTGACCGTCCTGTGCCTGTGCCTTCCGAACGAGGCAGGAAGGCAAACCAGCTGAGCCCATGACCCATTGGGTGCCTCAGGTGCACACAGTTTTTGGTACAAAAATTACTCCGTATCTCTTTTACATAGCCGATGTGCCTGTAACTGTGTACGTTACGCTAATAATACAGCCACCAATTATGAAGATGTCAGTTACTTGTCCCGAGTCGTGTATCAACCGACCACTAACCGACATTATACCTAAACTACGGTAAGTATCGTACTCTACTCACATAACTCGATCAATCATCCATTTATGAAATTTGTCAACAACTAACCGAGTAACTAACTAACTAAGAAGATAGTACGGAGTACCTAGGCGACCTGTGCTGCCACTGAGTGTGGATTTTCCCACCACTCACTCTTGGAACCCCACCAGCCGGCCCGCCCGGACGAATGGTAAGCCATGTGTTATCATCCAATCGTTCGCAGGTTGATCAGTCTGAATCCGGCCAGCAAATCTCTTCCCGAGTCCTGACCCTTTCCCTCTTCCACTGTTCGCACTGCCCTTCGATCCATGACTGACTGACTGACTGTCATTCTTCTACCTCTACTATTGCTATTATCTATTCTTTTTCCTGCATATCGCATTTATGCCCTTTGGGCTTAAGCTGTCAGCTTGCTCCTCTCGCCCACCTACACCCCCAGTGGTCGCCTTTTCTTCGCTCCCCTGATCTCCTCCTCCACCCCCTCGATCCTCCTCTCCTCCCTCCCCTTTCAGTCGGTCTGCCTCTCTGTCGTGTCCCCTCCATCGACCCAATCAAACGCCCCCTCCTTTCCCATCGTCTCTCCTCTAATCTTAAATTGACCTTGGTGATTTTCTTGCATTTTTATTTGCTCCTAATTTCCCCTCAGTCTCGATTCCGTGGATTGTTCCAGAAAACCCCATAGGCAATTAAAGCCACCGTTCACAGGCCACTAAGGCGTTAGGGACCCGGGCTTAGTGTCGCATTTCCGTCCATCCCTGGATTCCCGCGAGTCAGAGAACTGCTCCCAACTCTGACACTGACTTTCTACGGACGTGTTCCGACGAAGGTTTATTTCTTTCTAAAAAAAAAAAAAAAAACAAAAAAAACAAAAAAAAATTGTTCGATTTCTCGTCCAGAATAAAAAAGAATAAACAAACCAAAAAGAGAGAGCAAAGAGAGGGGAACGGAAGCTTGGGACCCCCCCTCCAGCAGTTTTGTCTCACATCATTCATCAGCCATGGACTCGAATAATTCTTCCGGCTTCCCAGCTGCGATGCAGCAGACCGCGGCTTTTCCTGTCACGACTCAAAGTCCTCAACAGTTCCCTTACTATCCAAATGCCATGCCCTCATTTCCCCAGCCTAAGTCTACACCTCCTTCTCATATGACTCCTCAGCAACACTTACCGCATTCTTTCAATTCCGTGCCTATGCAGGCCGGCCCCAGTGGAGCAATGATGCCGACTGGCTTTCCCCAGCAATCACAAGGTACGTTGTCATCACCACATTGTCATGGGAGTGGTACTCTCCTAATGCCATTCTTATCTGATTTGCCCATTCTCGATACTTCAATACTTCCTGTGACCTCTTTTGTACCCCCGTTATCCCTCCTCTCCCGCCTCCCCTCTCCCCTTATTGCTTCCCCACCCACTGGGCCTCCTTAGATCAACAAATGCTTCGTCGCATTGGACATCATTTCCAACAGCGACTCTACCGCATCTGACCTGGTCTGGTTGCGTTCTCGCTACGTTACAGGACCAATGGTTGGGCGGACCTCCACTATCGTGTCACCTCTTGTCACCCTAGTTGCCTTTTAGCTGTTGTCGCTCATGGAGCTACACTGGGCTGCTAGCCCAAGTGTCTCAAGTTAGACACAATGTCGGCTGCAGGGACAAGCCGCTAATCAACGGGATGGACTTGCAGGACCCCACGCCAACTTCGCGGCGCCATTTGCCCAGCCACCTGTCCCGACTTCGAT